GATCACCCCTATTGCTGACACTCGTGTCTGGAATGTGACTTCTGGCAGGACTGAAGATGGCTGCATTAGGGTTTATTCAGGGTCTGGAAGGGGTTTCCTGTTGTTTGGTGCTAATTAGGTCCATGGTTAATATATCCTCCCTGTGTAAAAGACAGTGAATCGTCCTTTAATGTATTTAATTCAGTTTGTAATTTACTAATTTTTTCCATTTGTGTATGCTGGCTTTCTCTCAACTGTTGGAGACCTATTTCTTTTTTTGTTCCAGTTGCCACTGGTCTTGGTTTTCTTGCCAATGCTGTAGTCTCTCTTCTTGTTTCTTTTCTTTCTCCTCCAACCACTGCTGAAGTTTCTTTTCTTGTTTATTTTCTTTCTCCTCCAACCACTCCTGTAGCCTCTCTTCTTGTTTCTTTTCTTTCTCCTCCAACCACTGCTGTAATTTCTATTCTTATTTATTTTCTCGTTCTTTGTGTTTCTTTTCTTTTTCCTCCAACAACTGCTGTAATCTCTCTTCTTGTTTCTTTTCTTTTTCCTCCAATAACTGCTGTAATCTGTCTTGTTTATTTTGCTGTTCAAGCTGCCACTGTTGCAGGTTTTCTTGCCACTGCTGTAGTCTCTCTTCTTGTTTCTTTTCTTTTTCCTCCAGTAACTGCTGTAATCTCTCTTGTTTATTTTGCTGTTCGAGCTGCCACTGTTGCAGGTTTTCTTGCCACTGCTGTTGTGTCTCTTCTTGTTTATTTTCTCGCTCGTCTTGTTTCTTTTGTTGTTCCTGTATTGCTGCCATCAAATCTGCTAAGCTGTAGTTTGATTTGCCACTTCTCGTTTCCATGTTCTTCTTTTTTTTCTCTCTTTTATGTCCCACTCTCTGACACCAGTTTGTTGCATATTTGCTTGTTTGTTAATTTCCAATATAAATTCTTTTCGAGGAACTTCAGCGATAAAAGTCCCTTCTTCATTAAACCAGTTTATTCTTTCTCGATACAAACTTTTAGCACCCAGTAATTTCACAATCAGTACGTTTCTCGTCACTTTAAACTTAACAACTTTTATAATACACACAAAAATCAAAGCGATTGATAATCTCGATAACTTTGCAACAAGTGCAAAACACACACTTTATATTCCTCGGCTGGTTATGGCTGCCAGGCTTATATACTAAAGAAGAGGGTTTGTCAAAATCGAGGAGTTCCCTGATAATTCGAGAAACTCATTCATCCAGCACTAGCAGAGTTACATGACTTTTGCTGTCGTAACAAGTTTTTATGGCATGACAATTTGCAAATTCTGTTCAGGAAACACAAATAATTGATACATATATTCCAAAAGCATAAAATACTGTTAGTTACTTTGTTAGCAATGATTCAACTCTTTTCTTTAACAAAATCTGAAGCCTTTGAGAATGAAGAATCGATTGACATAAATACTTATCATCAATCTAGCTTAGCAACTTAGGTCTAGTTATATTTTAGGCCTAGTTCTTGATCATAAGAATAGGCCAAGTAAAATAAGATACGTTTTTAGTGTCCTGCCCACTTCCTTTTTTGGCGATTTGTTTCTTCTTTGAATTATCATTTTTTGATCACATAAAGAAACAAAAAACATTACTTAAAGATTTTGCCCTTTATCTTCATTTGTCATAAATTCTGTATCATTTTGGAACAAAGAAAACTCTGTTTGATATGGACCCTTTGGAAACAAGCAACAATCATGAAAAAAGGGTGCAAACATTCTTACAAAAATGACATTAAAAACAAAAAGGACCTCCTCCTCCCTTTCTTCGAAAACTCTGGACGATAAACATGTTTTGTTTCTTGACTTGGCCTAAGAAATGGCATGTCAGATGCAAACCATGAAGGAGAAGCCTGGCTGACAGCATCATCAAAATATGAAGTGAAGATATTTTGATTGGCCGAGGCCTATCATTCTATTAGTGTGGCTAGATTTAGCCTCGCTTAGACATAGCATATTTGCATTGCAAAGTGTATGCAAACACAAATATGCTAAGTCAGACAGGGCTACTACTAGTCACACTATTGGAGGCAAGCCAATCAAATCTCTACATTCTACGTTGCAGATAGGCCTATCCTCGTCACATACAAACTCCTCTCTTTCATGAAACATAAGTAGACTGTCTAATGACTTATTAAGCATTATGCTAAGAAAAATGAAGATGGGTCTTTCTTTATAAGGTTTTTATGTAGCCTAAATAGCCCCACTATAATCCCTGCTTCCAAATAGCCATTTTTCTATCCATTTTCCCTACTTATTCCCCACACCTAAAGAGAGAGAGTTCTTTTAGGTATATGTGGCTCCTTGTTATTGTTAACTCAATAACTGGACTGAAGAAAAGGATTTTGACATAGTAGTGGATAAGTCACCCAACTTTTCAAGCCACTGAATTAGTGCTCTGCCCGTAATTAGTAGTTAAGAATAAAGAAAATATAATTTTAGTGTGTGTATTTGTTAGGTCTCATTTAGAACACAGTTTTGTCTCCCATCTTATCTAAAGAAAGATTTGGACTTATTGGAAAGTATTTAGAGGAAAGTTACAAATGGATTCCAAAAATAGGAAGGCTATCTTGCAAGAATAAGTTAAAATCTTTTAACATATTTTTTCTTGGGAAAAAATTGTAAAAAGTTATCTTATTCAAGTTTACGAGATTATCCAGGAGATCAATAGGGTAAATGCCCCTGATTTCCTTAGTTTATGCTATATTATGATGATAATAGGAGAAGAAGACAAGTTTAAGCTTTTGGAAAGACAGGCAGCTCCAGTTAAGACACTTTTATTTTTCTGATAGGATGTTTGACTAATCAAATAACTTATCATTAGAATTAGTGGAAGCCAGCACTTTATTGTAGTTTACAGGGAGGAATCAATAATTTCGTGAAAAGTAAAGGGTGGTAGTGCTAGCTGAGCGATTAGTGGGATTTGCTAATTGATTAATTTTCCGGCTCATTAATTGATTACATTCATCTATTCAATTATTCACACATGATACTTGGATAGTTGAAATAAGTGATAACATTAATGATTGGAAACACTGACTTTGATTAGTTGATTATTTTCGTGAGTCATGACACTAATCAATTAAGCTGATCAATTTTGAATTAATTGAAAATAAGATTAAGAAATCTTAATAATTAAATGGCAATATTTTTACCATATGGATAGTGGGATAATCAAAAACAGTAATAATTGGAAACAAATTTTGATTAATTGATTATTTTTATTATATTAATAAATTTAAAACTTTTACTTTTCTTAAAGATAGATGAACAAAGATGAAACTCCCTTATTGCCAATAGGTTGTGTTATGTTATTTGTATATTCTGCAAACCACCCTAACAACAGTATGTAACATAAACCTATATAACATTAAACTTAAAATTGCTATAATGTGAACTTATTAATCATAAAAAGAAGTAGAAAATAAAGCCTAACAAAAGCATTTTTATGACCATTATAAATATTGTTACTTTATGGATTTTTTGCCTTAGAATCATAACCAAAAACGTTTTTAACAACTTTTTCAAATATAAGTACCTGGACATAATGAATTTCTCCTGTGTGCACAATTCTTAAGTTACAAATATTAAGAATTTTTTGTTAAGTTGCATTTTAGGTTTTAATTAGTACTTATTATTTGATCATTTCTACTGTATTACTTTGAAACTTTGATTTGCTGTAGTTAAGTGGATTAACTCACTATTTAATTTGTGTTTTTTGTAGTTATCTTCGTAGGTTTAGAAAGATCAACTTGAAGGTTTTGAAGTCTTGGTGTCGACAGATTTTGAAGGGTTTGAACTTTCTTCACTCCCGGTCTCCTCCAATTATCCACCGAGATCTCAAGTGTGACAATATTTTTATTACTGGTACTACTGGTTCTGTGAAGATTGGAGACTTAGGCTTAGCAACTCTGAAAAATAGGTCTTTTGCAAAAAGTGTGATTGGTAAGATTTGACAAGACTTCTGTGTAGTTAGTCAAAAAAACATAGTTACTTGCATTTTTTTAAGAACTACTTGTTTAGACTTGCAATTAGGTATGCTAATTGTAATCAATATATTTATTAACATATTTCACCATCAAATTTAAACAAAACTATCTAAATACTAATTTTTTTAATATAACTTTAGCTGCTTTTCAGTTTCTAAATTTTATATCTGTAGCATTTTAAATCATGTAATTGCTCTGGAAGCAAATTTTCTAATTTAAAAAAAAAAGAAGAAAATTGAAGTCAATGGAAAGCAATTATTTCACATTTTTACTGACCAGGCACCCCAGAATTCATGGCTCCAGAGATGTATGAAGAGCACTATGATGAATCAGTTGATGTCTATGCTTTTGGAATGTGTATGCTTGAGATGGCAACCACAGAGTACCCCTATTCAGAGTGCAGTGGACCAGCTCAGATTTATAAGAGGGTTGTTAATGTGAGTACATACCTTTAACTATTGAAATGAAAAAAAGAATGGGAAATTTGTGAAATATTGCCTTGAAACCTCTTGAATTAAATGCAGAAAGTGAGAAAGTTACATCATACAAACAGGTTATTTGTGTATATTGTATGTTACGTTTTTATTTTTAATCCTTAAAAAGTATTTAAGGAAATAAATACTTTACATTTAACAAGAGGAAAATATTCTTGTATTTAAAAATGAAATTAGTGTGTGAAAAGAGAGTATTAGTGTACACAAAAATTTACTTTGAAATTTTATTTGAGTATAGTTTTTAAGCTCTGTAACAGGTAACTAATAAACTATTGATGTCAGTACTAAGTTTTAAATTTCTTGATGTATTATATAATCATGAGCTTATAGTCTGATAGTGATTTTGTAAGCAACTGCCACGTATAGTGCATACATTATTTGTGAATACTGTTTATAACTTATAGGGTATTCCACCTCAAAGTTTTGTGAAAGTGGAGAATCCACCGCTTCGGGAACTCATCAGCAAGTGTACTCAACTAAAGAAGGAAGAAAGGTAAGATAAGCTCTTTTTGTATGTATTGTCTCTTTGTTCATTTAAATCTTCGATAAAAAGATAAAAAGGCTAATTACAGAAGTATTGCAATAGTCAAATTTCAAAGAGATACTGAATAATAGCTAGTTTTTGCTTACTACTTTCACTGAAACATTTGTATATTTTTGAGTAAGAAATACCTAAAAGTGAAAAATTTGGATTTCGTTTAGTTTAAGATACATTTATATAATTGATATAAAATTGTATACAACTACTCTTACTACATTTTAGTACATATATGCTTGAATTACACCAATGATATTGTCATCCCTTAAATGCACATTTACTCCATCGTAAGTAAATATTGGTGGTTCTTTTAGACCAACAGTCAAAGAACTTCTTCAGTTGGATTTCTTTCAAGAAGAACTTGGTGTGAAGGTTGAGTTTGTAAACAGAGAAAAAAGTTTAACTTGTACAGAGCCAAAAGTAGAGTTACATCTTCGGGTGTTGGATCCTAAAAAACGGAAAGACAAACACAGAGAAAATGAAGCAATTCAGTTTGAATTTGATGTGGAAATTGATAACCCAGATGAAGTAGCTCAGGCAATGGTAGTCTTCTCATGTAATTCTTCACATAATGTGTAAATATAATTGTGTTGTGAGATGATGTATGCCTGTCTTTGATGTACATAAGATATAAATTTGCACGTTATTAGTACTTTTTTTGTTTCTTGTTTTTTTCAGAATTTCATCTGTGCAACACATAATGTTAATAGCTTATGGATAGTTAATTGAATTTTTATTTGTTTAATTACTTTTATCAAAATCATCATGAATAGTGAAAGTAATTATTTGAAAATATTATTTTCTTTCAGCAAATGAGTGGAATTATAATGGAAGAAGATGTAAGGATAGTTGCAATGGTAATTCGAAATCAAATAGCAGTTTTTAAAAAAGAGAGAAATTTTTATCTTCAAAAGAAGTTGAAAGAGTCTCAATCTCCATCTCAGCAAGTTAATTCCCAGCCTCAGCTCCACCAGATGGAGCTAATAAAACACCTTTCTCAATTCCAACAGTGCCAATATCATCAGCAACAACCCCCACTACAGGACTGCTATACAAAGAAATCTTCATACCAACAGCAACAGTTAAATCAGTTACAGGGAACTTTGAAGCAAGGGTATGATCCAGCAACAGTGCAGACTTTTTGTCATCTTCATGAACAACAAAGATTTATTGAAGGTAGTGAATATCTAACATTTGAACCTACAGAATTTAGTTGTTTATGTAAGTAGTGCTTAAAATTTTTTTTAAAAAAGTTCAGTTAGAATACATTTTATTCTAGATCTTTTCTTCTAACACCAACCCCATTATTTGCTATTTTATATTACTGTTAAAGTTGTAGAATTAAATTTATACTCAGATAAGGAAATTTTGAAGGCTAAAGAAGAAACAAAAGAGTTAATTGGAATTTACTGACACAAATTTTGACAATATAAGCATTATAAAGAAATATAAATGTTTGAAACAGAACTTTTATTATTATTTTTATGCTTCTTGTTTTTACAAATATAGAAACATTTTTAGAAAATATTAGTTTTAACATAACATAATGTTTTGGGACAACATGGGACCTATTGGTCCAATTTTGGCTGTTCCATCATCTAAACTAAATTCAACTAATTTAAAATAAATCTTAAAACCAGCCCTTATTATTCATATATTTATCAAGCTTTTTCTTAAACTCAGTTAAATTTACTGCCTCTACAACATCCAAAGACAACCCATTCTAGAGGCCAACCACCCTGTTAGAAAAATGAAACTGTCTTAGCTGAAGATGGCTCCTACCTTACAAAAATATGTACTTGTGTCTTACTATTCTCACTTTTAAATATGAACAAAGATGATGCATCAACACTATCAATTCCCTATACAATAGGGTGCATCAAAAATATTTATTTCTTATATCATTATTGGCAGGATATGTGATTGGTGCATTTTAATAGTGGTAATTATGTGGATAACTTTGAGGCTTCTAAAATTATGTCTTGTACTGCTGCGAGGGAGGGTTATTTTCCTTAAAATATCCATAATCAAAGTACCATAACTTTGGATATACAAAATTTAGCTAATTTAGGAGTTTTATATCCTAAAGTACCCAATACTTACCATGAGGAGGTAGTTGCATGTAGAGTTTCACCCTTCCACTTGGCAAGAGAATAACTGGATTATGTATAGTTTCTTAGAATTAAATTTTTTCATGATTTTCAAGATTGAAGTTTTGATTTAATGAATCCCTTTCTTCTGTGACAGCCATAAACAGCTACTCAAGCTTCTTTTACTATTTTAACATGCTTTTCAACTGCTTGTGTGTGACACATCATGCTGAAATTGAACACTAGTGTGTCATTTTGTTCATTGCATATATTTTTTGTAAGTTGTGTCTCTACTCTCAGTCCATATTATTAGATCAGTGTAATGTTGAGCTTCCATATTAATATTTAGAACCACAAACTTTCTCATTATGCTAGAATTTGAGGTAGATCAAGCAGCTAATATTCTATGAAGAGCAAGTTGTATGATAGCCTTAGAGTCATCTCCAAGCATTGCAAGCAGCGTATTTTCCAGGTGTACAAAATATTCATTTCTCCGGATTATTCTTTCCACCACATAAGAAGATTCAGGAAGAAAACTTGGTTTTCTTACAAGTAGAAAAAGGTGCAGTTAGCCATGGCTGCATGAGGGATTTTTCTTGATATTAAACCAAATTGTTGCATACACTTCAATTACATATCTCACAAAAAACTGAGTTTCTTGGATGGGTTAGCAGTTGCGACGTAAAGGTGCAAAATCCTGTTTGATGTTGTCAAGCAGCGAAAATGGTTCATTGTATCAGGGTCACGTAAAGCAAGTTCTCTTGAACAATGACCTGACACAGCCACATTGCACGTGTCATACAAATATTTTGGATCTTTACTAAGATCCTTAGGATGGTCAGTTTTGGTAATGGCTCTGTAATTTCAACTGAAACAAAGTTTACTGAAGGCAATGATTCACAAGTGTTCAGTTTCTTTGTAAGAGGACCAGAAAAAGTGGATGTTCCTAGAGTTACTCCATCAAGATGTGCAATTAGATGATGCAGGGGTAATCATTGGCATGTAACAAGCAAATTAACCAATGAACAGGTTTTCCTAAGTGCAGTTCAAGAAGTCGCATAACTCAAGCTTTTTTTCCAGTATTGACGTATGTGCCATCACAGCCTACAGCGACTAAATGATCAGATGAAATTTTGTTACCTTCAAACCACAGAATGATAGAATGTTTTATACTTTCTGATGTTCTGGGAGAAGGAGAAATGCAATCTATGAAAACTGATTCAGATTCACTGACCAAAGTTATGTACTTGTTCCATGACTACACCTTTATAATGTTTTTGTCCATTTTTAATCATAATTTTAGTTATATTTTTTTTTATCATCTAAGTAGATAGCTTTAATACAATGTGACTCATCAGAAGTCAATAATGTTTCTTGGTATTTTTCTCTTTTGTGTCATATCTTGTTTTTATCAACAATTTTAGCATTGTCATTTTCATCAATAATGCCCATATCTTTGGAAATAGCTGAGGTAAGGACTGCAGCAGCTCTATCTGAAATACAGTACCTGTCAGCTTCTCTCACTACCTTTGGAAGCAGTGTCCTCATTTGTTTATTTATTTTAGGATTTAGGGATTTTGATGTAGAATATGCAGTATTAGTAAAATAATCCAAACATGTCATTGAGTAACTATTTCATTTGGTGGAGAGATGATACAGTTTTTTCAAACTTTGGTTTGCTTGAAGCAGTTGCAGATATAATTGGAGGAGTTTCATGTTGCATAAGATTAATTCTTATGATAAAAGGCAACTATTGCACACCCTACTGATTAGTAATTCCAAAATAAAATTTTCAACTGAGTAAATTCGATGCACCCCTACTATACACTCTTAAACACCTCAATCAGATCCCCCTAACTCTTCTTTCAAGAGAAAACAATTTGAGAGATTTTAGTGTTTCCTCGTATGATAACCCCTCCATCCCAGGCATCATTCTAGGAACCCTTCTCTGAACCCTTTCCAACAATTCAAAGTCTTTCCTAAGGTAAAGAGCCCAAAACTGAACACAATATTCCAAATGTGGCTTAACCAGTGACCTATACAATGAAATTATTCAATGTATTCAAAATTTCTGTAGATACAACCTAAAATCCTATTTGCCCTACCACTGCTTGAATGGTTTTAGAGCCTGACCAATTATTACACCAAGAACACTTTCCTTTGTAACAATGTTAAGGTTATTCCCATCCAAATTATACTTATAATTCAAATTATGGTAACCCACATGCATTATCTTGCATTTATTATAATTAAAACCCATCTGCCATTTATATGCCCAACTCACTAAATGATCTAAATCCTTTTGTAAATCAGAAGAATCTTCTTCACAGCTAGCAACATCCAATACCTTCATATCATCTGCAAATTTAAGTAACTTATTGACTATTCCTTCATCTATGTCACTGATGTAAATCAAAAAGAACAAAGATTCTAAGACTGAACCCTGAAGTACCCCACTTGTAACATTAATCCAAGTTGACTGGACTCCATTTGTAACAACCCTCTGCTTTCTTCCATTCAGCTACTCTTCTATCCAATTTTTTAACTTCTCCCCCTCACCTATAGAGACAATTATTTTTTACAAGGCTTTTATGTGGCACCTTGTCAAATGCTTTCTGAAAATCCAGATACACCAAATCTACACCTTTACCCTCATCTACATAAGCAGTAACATTTTCAAAGAATGTCAAAAAGATTTGTAAGGCAAGATTTTCCCTTATTAAAACCATGTTGACTATCTAATAAAATTCTAAACTTTATTAAATGACTTTGCAAAGCATCTTTTAACAGACTTTCCTAAACTTCTCCCACAATTGATGTAAGACTAATGGACTTATAATTACTGTAAAAACTTTTATCACCACCCTTGAAAAGTGGAGTTACATTAGCTAACTTCCAATCCTCTGGTACCTGCCTGCTATTCAAGGACTGACAAAAAATAGTAGTAAGTAGCTCACATATCCAATCTTTAACCTCCTTCACAACCCTTGGGGAAATATTATCTGGCCCAGGAGCCTTATTGTTTTTTGAACTTCCCAAGTTTTCTTTAACCATAAGAATGTTGATTTATAAAAAAAAACAAGAAAAAAAACATAAGACAGAAGTGTTGACAGATGTATCGAGAAAGATTTTTAGTATATGTAAAAATGTGTCGTGGAATTTTGAGAATTATTTTAAGTTTCTTTAGACATGTTTTTATAATGATGATTCATGAAGCTTGGTAAGTGTAAATTTGATAGTTTGGTTCAATGTTTGAAAACTTGATTACTTCAAAATACAAATTTTATTTATTCATTTCCTGCTTAGTGCTTAAAACTACAACCATTGAAGGGATTAAAACTGACCATTTTCTACTAAGCATAATTATATCATATATTTTTTGTAAAAAGGTGAGATTGGTAGGATACATAAACTGGTATTGAGTCTTTTTATGGGACACAGATAAATAATGTTTGATTTTATGCAATAGTATAAAAATGTACTGTTACAATAATCACAATATATCTTGATAAAAGGTGACTAAAAGAATCAATGACCCAAAATAAGTAATAATTTAATTGTCATATTGTGTTCAGTCCCTGATGAAATGTAGAACAAATCAAAAAGACGATTTCTTCATTTTCATGTTGGATGATTCAGTTATTGAAGCTTTATATTTTCCACCTCCTAATTTTTGGATCATTGATGATGTTTTTAGAATCCAGCCTTTTAACAAGGTTATCTTCCTCTGTTTATTTTACTTCTCAATTTTTTGACCATTAGATCATGCTGGTCCATGAATTTCTATGGGAAAAAGAAACTGACACATACTATTCATTTGTAAGTTATGATGATTTTTCATTGTACTTGTGTTTCACTATTCCTTAGTTTATTTTGTAATTTAAAAATAAACAATAAAATTATAACACAGTTTCATTTTCTCCCCTGAAGTACCTAAATTGAGTTAACCTCAGAAGGCTTTAATTTCTCTCAACTAGTCCACTGGAGCTCCATGGAAGGTAATATTCTCTGGTGGCTGATCATGCCTTGGTCGGTATCCTTCCAACCCCTGATTGCATGCAAATTCTTGCATAGCATTCAAGATGT